GAATATAAACATTGCACTCTTAATCGAAGAGTGTTTTGTAGTCATCAAAAAAAGGGAGAATGTTGACTTCATATATTTTTTATGATAACAAAACATTCCTTATTTATTGGTGTCTAATTATATTATTTGAATATGCAAGAGAAAGCTTAAATTTCTTAGCATATCTATTAATTGAAAGCAAGTCGAGATGACTATTTAGTTGCAAGATTGGTTAATTGGTTAAACAACCAAAGAAGAAAAAGTTTTAATGAAGACATTTTAGTCTTAACTGATTAACAATGATACTTAATCAGTTAAAGTAATTTTGGGCACTACACTAAGGGCAAGCAAAAGGGTCTTAACTGATTAACACATGGCTTAATCAATTAAGAAGGTGTTGGATGCAAAACAAATGGTTATTAATCAGTTAGCCAAAGGGATTAATCGATTAAGGGTCAAACTTGAAGTACCTAAAAACCATCAAAATTCAAATTTAAATTGAAGTTGACCATTGAAGAGCACCAAGTAAAGGAACTCAAAATTGAAGATAATTTAATCAATTAATGCTTATTTCAATTGGTTAAAGTTGAAGGAAAAAAAGCCTTAATCAATTAAATGGAGGACTAACCAAGAAGACTATTAGTTGGAGAAGTTTGAAAACATAATTTCTCAATAGGTTAAAGCAACCTTTAATTGATTAACATAGTGAAGTAGATTGCCATATTGAAAAGCTTTAACTAGTTAATGTTCACTTTTAATCAATTAAAGAGTCAATGCCAGCAATTTGAAAAGAGTCGTTAGAAGACAAAATAATGGCTATTTCTGACCTAAAACTATTTCTAACGACTAAAAATTGTCCTCCAAGTATAAATAGAGGTTCAAATAGTTAGAAAAGGGTGAAAGAAGCTACCAAGATTTATTTTGAGCTTAGAAGACTAAAAACCTTCTCTTTAAACTTGTATTCCACTCCTATTTTTTGTAAAATTGTTTTAATTGAATTTTGTACATCGTACATCATCTAGGTGATCACTGTATTTTATCTCTTCTTTATTTCTTATTTACTTAGAGTGTGTGAGCCACTTCTAAGGGGTAAACTAAGCTTGGAAGGCTTAGGGATTCTTGTAAGGGTTTAGAGTTTGGGTTAGAAGCTCATCGTGTAAAAGATTGGTGGAAGCTTTTAATTCCTTTGGCTTAGTGAAATTGCGTTGAAAATCTTTGATTAAGAGATCAAGGTAGTGAGTGTAGGTCAATGGGACTAAATCACTATAAATATTTGTGTTTTGTTTTCTTCTCTGTACATTCTCCTTGCTTGGTGTCTTTTAACTTCAATAAGTTTTAAACTTTCTATTTCAAAATTATACAAAAAGTTTTTCAAGCTCTAGAGCTGCCTTTAAAATATTTAAGTGCTATTCAACCCTCTCCTAACACTCCATTAAGACCAATAGGTCCTACTAGATAGCAATCCACCTACTCTTATGAATTAACTAATTCTGAAACTTCATAGTAGCTTTACCAGACTTCAATCATTTTTCTTTCAACTTCCTAGCACACACTTGAGCTTTAATCGAATTAGCATTCCCACTTTCCTAACATTCAAAAAATTCCCAACATTATCACTGAGTTTTCTAGACTTCCAACTAATATTTAAACACCTCAATGCACGTTAATAATCTATATGTTATTCCGTACCTTGGTGATCAGAAATCAACTCAAGAAAACTCCCCGAAGTGCTCAACCAAGGAATGACAACTCGCTGGGTTTAAACATAGCTCAAATTTAAAATCTAAACAAATTAAATTGAAATTTATACCTCAAAACAACTTGTCCTTACCTCATTTCTCACTTTTTCGAACTTCATATGAATTATTGAGGAGGTCAACAACCCAAGGAATGCTTGCAAGGCTCTCGACCAAGAAGAGAAGAAAGAAAAGCTTCTAAAATTTAAATGGACAAACTACCTAATGTTTGCTATATAACCCTACTCGGATCAACCCCTATGCTCAAGGGTGTGGATCCTAGCAACTTTAAATGGGTTGAATTTGATGAGTTGGCACTTAAAAAGGATCCTAGCTTCACTATTGGCTTCCACATGTCCCCCACACTTCCAGAATCGACACTAAAATCTCAAAGGGTCCATCTTATTGTTGGGATGAGGCTTGCAGCCAATTACAATTGGTTAAGGCTTGATTCCAATCATGCAACAACATTATTCACATTGAATGATTAAAGGTTTTCCTTCATCAGTAAGACATCAATTATAACAAGTTAAAAAGTCTAATTGGATGAAGTCCATGAGATTAATATGCCTTACAAGGAAACTGTAATGGGTTACAATTATGAAATTCTTATGCATCAAAGCATAATCTCAAAAATGTTCGTGGTCAATGTATCATTGCGACCTGACATTAATGATGCCTAGAGACTGGTACATTCTATGTTCCTTACTTGAGAAGTAAGCAACTGATCTCATAGGTTGAAGTATAGAGATACTTGGAACTAGAATGTAGGTGCTTGCCCAAGAGAGTAAGTTCACTGAACATGACCAGCCGTGAGAAGTGCATTTGGTATTTCACTCAAGTGTCTATGCAATACTTCTCAT